GATAAAGCCACTTATCAGATGTTTACATGCAGCTGAACATAGTAATGCTGAACGCTTGTCACTTGTCACAGCTATGAATCATCTAGAAAGATGATCACATTTTCTAGAGTTGCATCTCATCAATTGACCGTTTTCTTTATAGATATGCAGCATTTAGAGGGTTTTCATCTTGCTTATTTTTTTTTGGTGAATCGTTTGACTCATCTTCTCATATCTCAACAAAGTACCTCCATTGTATCCATTAGGTCCAGGAGGACCGGCAGGGCCCCCAGGACAGTTGCATTGCCCCGCACTACTGTCAGTATAAGGTTGTTGTTGATAGAACTGTCGTGCAACTTGTTGATAGATCTGCTGAGGAACATCTAGAAGAAAGTTGCTGACATATTGACTCATTTTTTGTTGATACTCCAATCTTTCAAGTTTCAAGGCTCTACTCACATGATCGTTGGAACGCTTTGGATAATTGTAGTGACGATGGCGTAATATGACGTTTTCCCCCCCTTGCTATATGATCTGGCACATGACGCTGGTTAGGATAAATGTTCTGGCTTGCTTGGTTCCGATCTGTCGTAAGTGATACATTTAAGGCGTTTCAGATAGGAAGAGTCCCATCTACTCACATACTACGTCTCTCTTCTCGATATTTCTCCCATATTTGTCCACCAACTTAAGAGCTTCTTTCCATAGTTCCTCATGGACGTTCTAAATTACTGCTTTACTTAAACATACAGAAATTTGGACCAAAACGAGTCTTACGTTGAACTTTGGTAGTTCCTCTTCTGCCTGCCTTGTAATGGAAACAATGTCCGAGTGAAGCTTAGCCACAAAAGCCACTGCACTTATCACGAAGAGCAAACATCCAAAAGAGATGAACCCAGCTAGGCGGTCAGTATTGTTTTCCACCATTTGTGAGGTGAGACTAAACCACAAAAGGAAGATTTTTCAATCGCTAGGCATTAGCCAATAATCGGGTTCACGATGTTCAGGATTTGGGTTGTTCTAATTGGAAAGGTATGACAGAAGCTGGAGGCACCTTGTCAAAATAGAATAAATGGGTAGTGAA